AACGAGACGCAACCGCATATAACTTTAGAGAAGTAAGAGGAAAAATATTCGAAAATAGAACAATCACCAAGAATTAATAAGATCCGGTAGCTTTGAAGGCAAAGCGGGAGCTTCGTAACACGAAACGCGAAAGGAAAATGAACGTACGTCGACGTCGTAAAGCCGGCTTATCTCACTTCGCTTCACTTCTCGTCGGATCAAGCGCATGGATGTTCCACTACGCGAACGTAAAGTATTGCCGTTCGTTCCCGTTGCCGAACATTTTCGTATATACCACGAAATACGAGATTGAAGTACGAAATCCGTGCGTGTGCTATGAAACACGAGGTTATAAATCGCAATATTCATTTACTTGACAACTCTTCGTTGAATTTTCGTTAAAAAAATCAAGGAACTTTACATTTTTCCGCGTAATCCACGACGTCGCCGTCATCTTCGAAGCGAATATCGAACGATCGAAATGCCAAGAAGAAAATACGGACACCTCAAGTTTCCTATCTCTTCTTGTTTATATAATCAAAATGATTAGTTTAACCATGGTGTCATATAGTAATTTTCCGAAATCCGACCGAAACCAATCGGGTTCAACCAAATTGCGTATCTAAAAAAATTTACACTTTTTTTTTTAATTTCAATGCATGGTAATGCATCCATAGCGCACATCAAAAAGAACATATATTTGATTGATGGAGATACGCGTTATGGCGTTATTATAATACGCGCATCAAGGAAACCAGAGGATATCTTACCGCACCCACGCTCGAATATGCGATATAATTCCACATATCTAATTACATATAACTTAATATTGCGATACATACTGGAATATGTATTCCTACACGCGTCGAATCAAGCAAATGTTTCGCTGGCATGACTACAAAGCACCGTCGTCGTCACCGTCGTCACTGCCGTTTCCGCCTTTGTGCCATGTCGCGAAATACGAGCAGCGAAACACGAGCGCGGAATACGAGGTGTCGTCCACGAACCGCGATTTACATTCCCGTAGTACGATGCCGCAGAATATTCCAGATTTTCTCATCGAGAGATGCAAGGAACGCGCGCATTCTCCCGCCATCTTCGACGCGATGTTGACTTCACATCGGCGGATATCGAACAACTCGAACCGCGGCGCACAACGCGAAGTTGACCCGAAACGAAGGAGAGTTTAAAATATTCCATCGCGGGTGCAAATATAGAGATACGATTCTATATATCTCCCCGTTCTATATCTTCATTTTGATAAATTATGTATCAGACTCTTGGAATTTTCCAAAAAACGGCTTCCCCTTCCGCGTCGAATCTAACGTTCGGGTGTTTTATTAGAGTGATCGTAAGACACGGCGTCGCCGCCATTTTTATAGCCATTTTTTTGGATTATTGTCGCAATATGAGAGCACAAACGCAAAAAACAAACATAAAATATGAGATATCGTCCGCGAGTTATAACTTCCGCTTCCACAACACGATTCCGCGCAATATATTACTTTTTCCATCAAGTGGCACGATGACTGTCCGCGTTTCACGCCATCTTTGATACGCATCGCATCGTTGATTTTAGCGTAAATAATGAATAACTCGAAATATGATATGTACACCAGTGCCCAAAGGAACACAAAAAAAATTTTATATCAATATGATATTTAAAAAAATCTATATTTTATATATATTTATATTTATATTTATATATATATATTATATATATATATTTTATATATATTTTGTGTCGTATTTATTATTACTTTCTTTTTTTAACTCTGTTTTAGAATCTTACTAGCGATCTGTTTTTTTTTCTCGACATCTTCATCGTGTTTAAATATCAGATCGCTCATTTTTATGTCGGACGGAAGTAGCTGCAAAGTTTAGATGACATTTTGCGGTGAATCACAAATGCAAATTCCGCAGATCTTTGAATTCGAACGAAGGCGAGTTTCAGTTTGCGAATGAAAAACGGTCAATCGCGTGTGGTACGCAACTTTATTCAAATGACAATAATAGGATTCGCAAGTATGGAAATTCATGACCGAATCTTCGTGTAGAACGCGGCCGAACTCGCGTAATAAGAAATTGCAGAAGTGAATAATGCACGATGAGACTTGGAAAGTTTACGTGAATTTTAAAGCAAGAACTCGTTAAAAAGTCCGAAACCATGTTAAATGGCTTCGTGATATTCCTGCCGGAAAATCGTCGAGCACGTGTAAAATTACTTTATTTTTCTAACAACATACAGATATGCTAAATACTATAATGTAAAGAATGTTACGTACAGGAAAAAAACTCAGAATTAATTAGAAATATATAATAAAATACGTGAGAATATCGTGCGTATTCATCCCGAAGCTTTCACGCTACACATTTTGTATCATAAATATTTCATTTTATGTATTCTATCACGCTCATAATGCGACATTATTACAGCGATTACATCTATATTCTTTATTAAGCGATATTTAAATTAACTTGTTATATAATATATATTTTTTCCAATATATTGTAATTAAAAATTATAATACTCATATCATATTTGCATCTCTTTATCGGCGACACAAGGTCACTGGCATCGATTGTTATAATCTCATTGTGTCTTCATCTATAAGACGAGAAGCTTTACAACGCTAAAGTGTGCTCTATTCTGTGCTTAGGGAAGAGCTCGCTTCTATTATTACATTTAGTTTGCTATTTACCGCGGCCATATGTGCATTCAAGCGTGTATCGTACGTGTATCGTACTTGTTATGTTAATCAGATCGCAGAACGGCGTCACGATGCCTTTGACAATCATGCGACACCGTAACTTATGGAAATTTTAAAAGCGAATTGATTTTCTCGAAGCATGTGTGATTCAGTCAGACGTTCTAACTCCGTAAAATTATTATCTACCTAATAAATTTAAACCCTCCCGTACAACACACCTCATCACAGAACTTAATTTTAATTACGTTTGTTTTACTTAATTTAAATACGGTTTTATTAATCCACTTTTTCAATTTTTCTAAATTTAAGAATTAAACAATTTAGATATTGACCGACAAAAACTATATATTTGACTATTATTTATTTTAAAAAATGTAAAAAAAAAACTGTGACTGTTTTTACCTTCATCATTATCACATTTATTATTTATAACAAAAAATATGGTTATGTAGTTTTTTGATTTGTAAATTACTGTGAATTTAGTCAATATGCGCATAATTTGTGATATATATATTTTTTAATTTATTTGTTCGCGTATTATTTCATATATATATATATATATTTGATTGAAGAGGATTAAATATTAATTGAAATGTACTTTATCTTGATCATTGATTTTGCGTTGTAAATAAATCATATTTTTTCTTTTTCGCTCGTTTTTTAGTTCTTATTTTATTTCAAATTTTTATGAATTACAGCTTGCTTGTTACGTTATTTTAAATTTGCTTTAAAGGTTTAATAATAACTTTCAAATAAATATATAATCAAACTCAGACGAGTTTTAATTTGCGCAATTTTATATGTTCTATACATAATTAGAATTTTATATATAATCTTGTATGTTAAATTAATAATTAATATTTATAATTGTGCTTCATAAAATTATAATAAACGGAACAAAAAATATTTTAATTATGAACTAAACTATAATTATGCAGATGATAACCTACAGTTACCCATAATTTATTTATTAATTTTTGATTGGAATATAAAGTTAAAAATGAAATTTAATTAAATTTAAATGAATTAAAATTCACTAAATTTTATTAAAATATTAAAAATTACAAATAAAAGATAAGATCTTTAAATCGGGAAGATGATTTTCATTGCATGATAATGGTAAACTGCAGCTGTTTATTCTCGGTAACTAAAACATAATAATAATGAAAATAGCTGTATGAGCAATAATGAGTTTCAAGGTAGAGGTAGAGCTCTCACATTTATGTCAGCCACATCGAAAATCGATCGACACGTATGGAATGAATGCGACGCGATTGTTTCAGTCGGCATCTGGCAGAAAATTTCAACATTTCGCGAAATAATTCAACTCATTGCACTCATGCTTGAGCTCTCCTGCATTACAAGCGTAATACGTTTGATGTAATAATGAAAAAAATTTCAATTATCGATGATAGCAATTTGAGAATTAGTCCAAATGTCAGAATTGCAACGCGGCAAAAGAAGCTTCATGAAGCGACATTAGAACCAATGCATTCTAAATTGATTGACATGAGTTATATTTAGAATTATATAACTACATAAAAATAAAATTCTGTTGAATACTAATTAAACAATTACGTCTAATTTTTTTTAAGTATAAAATATATTTATACGTAACAGATAATATTATATAATATTATATAAAGAAATATCATATATCCAATTCTGCGAGTTTTTGAATTTTTATTAATATTATTATAAAGAATGTAAATATACCACAGTCTTTTTTACATAATATTTATTTCAAAGTTTATTCGCATGTTTCATAGTTAGATGCACATCTGTCTGACATTTCGCAAAATTTAGTTTTACGTAATTATGCTGAATATTAATTCAGTAATACGTTTATACGTGTATTTATATTTAAGTTGTCAAATTTATGTTACCATCATCATCGGATGAGATATCCGGAGATCGGAGAATCATGTGATAAAGATAAGCACTATATATTAGCTAAAGCCAAATAAATATACGCGAATATATATTCGCATCCTATCGAAGATAAACAAACATTTCGATACTCTTTCATCCCATCTCAGCTGCATCAGAGAGTCAATATCTTACCTCTGAACTGCTTAGCTGCACTCGTTTCCCGATCGAGTCACTTTCGACGTATCTTGTTCGCAAAGAAGTCAATTTGCAATATTTTAGTTTCATGATAATTTCAAAGAACACGCGCAAATAATGTCACTACGTCTTTCGCACTGATTAGAGATTCTCAATGATGACAGCTTCACTTGTTAAACATTTGATATTGATTGATTATATAATTTCTTCAGTCATTATTTTTTTTTGTTACACATTCAGAATTATTTTTTTAGTTATTTGATCACATTCTGCTGCTCATTAAGAAAGTAATGCTCTTCTTTGTCGTTCAATGCAAAATTCGTGGGAAAATAAAATATTGTGCGACATACGGTTGATTTCATTATTAACTTATCAAATGAATGGCACAGAAATTTGTTTGTTTGCCTTAATACAAACACATAGTTGAGTTAGTCTCTCTCTCTCTCTCCTCCCCCCCCTTACCCCTCTCTTTCTCTCTCACAATTGATAGATTAACTTATTTCATCTCTCTCTACAAGAACGCATGTGCAAATTTTTTCTTCTAAATATGATTATTATGTAAAATTATGAAATTACATTAACACTTTCGCTACAAAACGTTACATATCTATTGGCATACATTGAGATTTATTTGACAGATTGTCCGTGACATGATAACATCATATATATAACAATAGTTTAAAATAAAATCATATTGTATCGATGACAAAGAGGGACCAGTAAGTTTCTCTTATTTTGATTTTATATAGAAGAATTATTTTTATTCTATTTAAGATAATTTATATTATTCCATACATTGTAGAAATGATTAACATAAATGATTAAACCATATATGAAATAGGAGAACAATTTTTAGATGGTGCGACAATTAAAAAATATTATATATAATAAGAAGCGTAAACTAATTTCTTCTAAACGCGAGTTCAAGAACAAATTATATATTAAGAAGAGTAATTTTATCCTATCGTGACGTTTCACTCTTCTAAAAACAGAGCGGTAGCGAAAGCGTTAATTATAATTACGTTCGATGTTATGAGAAATCGTGCCTGAGAATTAACTACACACGGGTTATCGCTTTAAACTGAAAACTGAAACGTTATTATCATATCGTAGTTGACATATCTGTAATCATCATAGAGATACTATACCATAAGCATAAACAATATATCGCGCATAATCGTGCCGATAGTCTGCATAATTTCAAAATACCTACATCGAATGCCACGTTATTACACGTAACTAAAACCCTTTTTTATCTAAACTATCTCACAATCGCATCTATTAATTTCATGGAAAGTATTATTGCGCGGCTAATTCCCGGATAATCATCGGTATCCCCTAAATGATCGCGAAAGGGTACTTTCGTGGTTTGCTTTTCCAAGGGGGGGGAGGGGTAATAAGTTTGAAACGATAACACGTGCTCTACATGTGTGATCGTGCGAGATCGTCAATGTATATTACAACGTGAGATAGCTACCTCCTCCAGGGTAAACACTTAATGCACCGTTATCTCCGAAAGCTTCGCACATCCGTTACACCTCGTCATAACACTCGTACACCACGAAGATTACACGAAACACGTGGTCGACAGGATCGAGCGGAGGATCTACAGGATCTATAGGGTTTTGTCTTCTCGAATGTCCGCTAACTGTGTACTTAACACGCTGCAGTATAAACAGGATCCTCAAGAAATCTCCCTCATTCCGTTATCCGTCTCAACTCGAGCAGAAAGGATGTAATTACAGTCCAGTAGGTTTGAAGGCGAAAGGATAACGTATTACTCTCTCCCCC